TGACGTTGACAGGGGGCGCTAGTAAAGGTTTTTATTGTTTACATTTATCAAATCATCAATTGCAAATGTCAAAATGACATAACATGATGACAACCTTGCTTCCTTGATGTTGGCAGCAACGTATTGTCTTTTTCTCACATTAAGATTTTATCCAAAATATTTACCCCTTAGTTTAACGGCGTGAAAATACATAGCCTAAAGCGTGACGTAAGTGTAGGGCTTTTTATTAAAAAAAGAATTATTCGAAAATATGCTGTAATTGCTGACATCTTAGGCAACAAAGAAGTGTGTGTTTACACTTTATTATAATTGTAGTTATTTGTTATAACAATTGCAAAAGTAAGCATTCAACGTGTTAACTGTAATAACATTTGCATTGTCGTCAACGTTTATTACAACTAATTAATTAGAATTCACAGCAATTATCCGCATTATCCGTCCTTGTCCTGCATATGCAGTGCGGGTGTGTGCGATAAGGACAGACGCTGTAAGGTCATTGCTGGTTTTGTTACAATAAATAACTGGCAGACAATGTGGTTTATGTTCAATTCTTAATTAAAAGCACTAAAATGCTTTTGCACGCACACAATGACATGTAAATCAAATTTTAATATAAAAACACTAGCTGTTGCTCGCGCCTTCGCTCACGTGGTTCTAAAAATATAGCCTTTGTTACTCACAGATAAATTACCTTTCTAACGGTGAAAGCATTTTTAAAATCCCAGTAGTCAGTCAGTAGTTTGAGTTATTTCATTACATACAAAAATCCAAATAATTATACAAATCTTTCCTCGTTATAATATTAGTTTTGATATACATAACTTAACCATGGGAAATTAAAAATAAACACATGCATAAAAATCAATTTACATACTCAAAGAATAATAATAAGCTTTCTAAATAACTACATGTAAAAATACAATTCACACCAACATTAATTCAGGTCAAATATCACAAGATCAAAATATTTACGATTCTTGCAAAATTATGTTTATACGAGCTGTTGTCCGCAACTTCGTCCGCGTATTATTAGAAAACATACGAACTATATAAATTACAAATAGCTACTGATCCCTCGGGAACCGGACATTTCTCGGGGATGAAGCTTATCCCATGTGTACTCCAGACTTTGTCTTATATCTGTGCCAAATTTCAATAAGATATGTTGAACCGTTGCAGAATGATTGAGTAAACATTAAAAAACTAAATTAATGAATCCCACGGGAACCGTAACTATTGTCGGGATAAAAAGTAGCCTATGTGTTCTTCCCGACTATGCTCTATATCTGTGCCAAATTTCATGAAGATCCGTTCTGCCGTTTAGGCTACAAACGCTAACAAACATCCATCCATCTAAACTTTCGCATTTATAATGTTGGTAAGATGATGCAACGGTTAATATTTTAATCAAAACATTACTTAAACAATTATTTCTAGAATAAACTCACAGCCCTTTTTTATTTATTTTTTTTATTTTGTATTAATTTTTTAAATATATTACACTCAATTAATATATTACTTTCATCATTCAAATTACCGTAGCAACGACCGCCAGATAATTCAAACCTTGCAGATAATGATATCTATCGTCTAGTCATACAAGCACGTGCTAAATGATACTTGTTGGGACACGTATTTATCTTGCTGATAACGTTACTATTTATTTCTTGATAAACTCTTAAGATAATGTTTATTTAACATATCAAATATAATTTTCAATAGATAATTTGTGTGGAATGAATAGGCGGAAATTATAAATTTTTCACTATGTATTTGTGCGATAATATTTAACGTAGGAAAGGCATCTTTAAACTGATATTCATACAAGTAAAAAAATATTTATATTATATATTTTTATCCACAACAGTTTTACTGTGGTAGTGCCCGCTTTAACATCTTAGAGCGAATTGGCCAGCTCGCCCGGTGTATCACCACGACCACACAGAAGACAGGCGTGAAATGGAAGCAATCCCGTGTTTCGTCTGATGAATGTGGTGCCAGAGGCCTAATTTAAGTCCCTTTCTCTTTACCACCCTTTTCTTATAAGAGATGCTGGGAAGTGGAAGTGGATTTGACCGCGGAGGAGATGCATAGGAAGGGGAAATATCTTCTTTATGTGTGTCTCCTTCGTCGTATAAGGGTAGGCAACGCATCTGCAATTGCGGATGTCTACTTGCCACCTTATGTTATAAAAAAAAAACGAAGTTACAAGGGTGTCAAAATTGCCTTAAACCGCTTCAAGAAAGAAAAGAATGTTTAGCCGTGCTCGTCTCGTCAGCTTAAAAATTAAATAAACATAGTCCAATTTACGCCGTTGTGCCTTCAAATGTTGAAATAATTTTATAATCGAGACAAATTAGAGTTCATTTATTGCATACAATAATACAAATCTTTCCTCTTTATAATTTTAGGATAGATTTTCCATTAAAGTGCACCGAAGTAAACAGCCGAAAACATGATAAGGCGTACGTGCGTGTTCAGGCATACGTATATACTAAAAATTCGCACATCGTACGAATAGCACGATGGAATCTTTAAAATAATGACGAAATCTTCGATATAACAAAACATAACATTGTATTTTATCCTCTATTTTCTTTAATAAACAATGATATGTGACTCATGTCGCATAGAGTGAAAAGAATCGATTAAGCAAGCTAAAAAATCCACATAACATCACGTCGACTTCAATGCTTAGCCTAGTTTCGGTGTCACTGACAAAATGCACGTAACTGAGATAGCCTTAATTAAAGAACGACATAAGTCAATAGGACAATAAAGCAAAGAAATCTTCAAATAACAGTATCGTAAAAATTAATAAAACATGTAAAAATCTTATATAAGGAAATAATGAGAAAGAGAATTGGATAACAGTGGAGGGGATGCATAGGAAGTAGAAATATCCCCTTTATGTCTATTATTATTACAAAGGAAGGCAGCGCATCTGCGGTCAACCATGGGCAGCGGTCTCTTCGCTATGTCACCGAATCCATGTCACTAATTCATGCCGAATTCAATGTAACTTTTTCTAAGGGAGGGGAGGATTGTCACAAGCGGGCAATTTCGACACGTCTTTTTGATTCTTGTTTGATATCAATTTTTAAACGACTTCAAAAAAAAGAAGCTTTTCAATTCGTATGTGTGATTTTTCTTCTTGTTCAAATAATTTGATAGTAGGATTAGCTTTGTTTGATACTTCGTGCAAATTTTAACGTACATTGAGGAAAACGGATAGATTTACAAAAACACTATTATCTACAGTTTATTGATAAGTCGTAGTGTTTGGTTGAATGGCAGCGCTTGGCACGAGAGAGGCGTATACACACGTCTGTTTTACACACGTGTATACAATTTATCTATACATTTTAAAACTATAAACATGTTTGTGAGCAGAAAACATTTGCACAATTGAATATTTATTAATTTAAACCAACTGTTAGATGTGTAAGTTATTTATTTACATGGTAAGAACAACAACTATAATAAAAAATTTTGTTTAATATAGTTTCGACGATATTCTCATTCGCGATAAGGTTTTAATGACATTGTATGAGAAACTAACAAGGTCAAAAAGGGTCCTTGATTTTAAAGATTTGATTATTCACCGATCATATCGTAACATATCAAAGCTGACTCAACTCTGTTTTGCTAGGCTCAAGACTGCAAGGTCGCGATACACGGCACGGCCGCGGCGCCATAACCTTGACCAAGGTCGTCAGATGCTAGACACAATCGGGTCATCGATCCTTACTCATTGAAATTAAATGATTTTGAACTTTAACACGTAAACAATAGGATTCCTTTTAAAAACTTATTTGGAATCGCAAAATCGATTTGTAGATGTTATGATTATTCTTATGATTTACAAAGATAAATGACAAATGCTGTTTAAAATGTATTTGAAATACAACCAAAAAGCCTATAGATATTATTATAAGTGCAATTAAAGCATATATTTGCGCAATGACCTTTATTATTATTGACATAGTCCAAAAATCTACTAGACCAGACAATCGAATAACACAAATGTATCGATTTTAAATCGAATATGGAACGTTCATTTCGAGGTTTCCTAACCTCCGGGCTTAAGGGTGTTGTTGTTTTGATACTTGTATATAAATACAAAACATTACGAAACATCAGGTCAATCAACTGCAGGTAAAGTTGATCAACCCTACCGCTAGGGGCGCTGACAGCGGTCATTGACGCTATTCAATACGGATATTGCGCGACAATCTTTTAGTCTACCTACTGTATCTTACACTGACCTTGTCTACTTTCACACGAAGACAGAACAATATAGAGCAGTAGATAATTTAGTACTGTTATTTGCACCAACTTTTGACCGATCTGACTGTTTTTGATGAGAAATGTCATTTTTGTAGTCCGGATTTTTTATTTATTTAATATACTAATATTATAAATGCAAAGTTTATAAAGATGGATGGATGGATGTTTGTTAGAGATGCCTAAACTGGTAAACGGATCTCGATGAAATCTTACTAATGTTACTAATATTATAAATGCGAAAGTTTAGATGGATGGATGGATGTTTGTTAGCGTTTGTAGACTTGACGGATCTCCATGAAAATTGGCACAGGTTTAGAGCATAGTCTGGAAGAACACATAGGCTACTTTTCATCCCGGGAATAGTTACGGTTTCAGTGGGATTCATTAATTTAGTTTTTTAATGTTTACTCGATCATTCTGCAACGGTTCAACATATCTTATTGAAATTTGGCACAGATATAAAACAAAGTCTGGAGTACACATGGGATAAGCTTCTTCCCAGAGAAATGTCCGGTTCCCGAGGGATACGTAACTTTTTGTAATTTATATAGAGTGTATGTTTTCTAATACCACGCGGACGAAGTCGCGGGCAACAGCTCGTTTGCCATAAATGTAAATGATGGTCCGGAAGAAAACATAGGCTATTTTTTTTTAATTTTACGCAGACGGTGTCGCGTTCCAAATTTAGTTGACATAATTTTTTATTACAGGTATAATGAGGAATCAAATATTATCACAGATAATAAAGCACACGATAGATAGTAGTGCACATTTAACTCCAGAGATGGCGTTACGTCTGATCACTCCACAATGTGCCTTGTGGTCCGCACCGCCTGAAGAGAATCCCTTCAAAGACCCTTATTGGGCATTTTACTGGCCTGGAGGACAGGCAACTGCAAGGTAACTAAAATATATTTATTTATTTATTTATTTATTTTTAAATCGTGTAAAATTAAATACACATAATTACAATATATACAATGAACAATGAACATGAACATGAACAACAATATAAAAACAAATGTAAAATTTAGAGCGGACACACATGTTTGATTAAATTATCGCACAACTGTTGTGCGATTGTCGATTGTATCGCAGCCAATTCACTGTTTAGTTCCACAACTAAAAATCGAATAGTTTGCGCACCTCCATATAGGTCATAGGAATCAAAGCGACACAACAGTTGTGCGATAATTTAGTTTAAGATGCACACTCTTATACGACTTCGATTTTTTTTCTTATCTAATATACAGTTGTTTAGTTTTTTAAATTGATTTTATGGACAAAGTCATGTAAATAATTAAATTTATAAGTCTACAAATATAAATAGAAAAGAAATCCCCGAAACACAGTTTCCTTCCTCCTAAGGTGTGTATAGACAAACAAACATGTACAGAATTATAATTATAAACAAACATGTTGAGGAAAACCTCAGGAAAATCTTAACCTCAAAAATGGTTGTCCTTAGCAACGATTATTCCATGAAAATAAAATAATACACGAATGTGAATTTAAAAAAAAAACTTTAACACTGCATATTTTTTAAGATTTCCTTCGCATTATTATTTGGCAAAAATAAGAAAATAGGCAACTGGAAAAACCACATATAACCATTAACTTCAAAAGCCTGAAAGAAAAATAATTACGACTTACAAAAAACGATTTATTACTTTTCAGTAATAATTACAATGTGTTTGGAAAATCCAATGTTTTATTCTAATAAAAATTAATATTATCTCATAACAGTCAAATTAGACTTTATGTTATAACAATAGAGCTGCATTTTGCTTGTTGTAGAAAATTCTTGGTTTTTATGGGTGAAGTTTTGTTGCAAAAAATGTAAACAAACAAGTGAGCTATCAACAGTAGCTTACAACGTGAGTCATGCGAGGGATTTTATGCGACTATTCATAGTATGAACTTAGATTTTAATTCATTAATAATGAAAAATGATAATGAACGCTTTGCATAACTTTGTCACACTTGCATTTAAAGTAATAACATAAAAAATAATAGTATTTAATTTAATAGAATGACAAGTTTAAATAACATCGAAAAGTTAACATTGGTTTACGTTTGGTTCTTACAAAATCCTATTAATTCTTTAAAAAATACACGTATATAAAATTACCTAGCAAGTAATCGAATTTAAAAATACGTGCCATGTACAATTTTTTTCAAATACACGTTTATACTATAGATATGGCACAGAGTAAGAAGTGGCCGCATTGTGATAGAAAGAAACAATGTCACCTAATCCTTGCATAAGAACGAGATAGACAGGTAGCTCTAGAGAGAGATAGTGATATAGAAAGTCATACATGAAAGAAAGAGACGGAGATGTCTGAGTCACCGTGGAATGTATTAAGCATTTATTTGAATGACTCATTCTGTGTACGAATTCTACGAAATATTTGCTTTCCCAAACAAAAATATATTGTAATAAAAAATGTTAACTTGTAGGAAATACTGCCATAAATTCATAATTTTTTTTATTATACACTAGCTTTTGCCCGTGACCCGTTCGCGTGAAATTTAAGAATAATAAATCTTGCCCTAACGGTGAAAGAATTTTTTAAGTCGGCAGAGTTTGTAAACCCATTCATTACAATCTAACAAAGTTTTCCTCTTTATGATATTAGTATAAATGTAGTAATATTGAATTTATCGTATCTTGTTATCGATGATTCAAAATATGTTTTATTTTTAGCACTTCCTTGAAAAATTCACCAAAACAAGTTTGTGCTTTTGATAAAGTGATTTGGATTACGGGTATCTTTGTTTTGTTTCTATTTTAAGATCAAAAGCATATTTAATACGCATTTACATATTTATAGATGAAAAGAAGTGTTTTTAAGTGTTATTACGTTTTATTTTTTTGATATAAACCCGGAAATGTATTCAGCCACTGCCAAAATAAAAAAATACAACAGACAAATAAAATCAAGATCAATTTAAAATTGTTAGATCTTCGTTAGTTCTCATTATTGGTATACCTGAGGGTTTGTTATGATTATTCGTAAAAACATTATCGGAAGTCAGCGATATGTATCAGATTTGTACAGCGCCATCTATCGGGCGTAAAATACACCAACAAATCTCATATTTTTGGCGTTACCACTCGTAATACTTCTTCGCAACAACATGTAAATTAGTGATGGACTCTCTGAGCAAAATTTTTTTTTAACTAAAGTGGAACACCACTTGTTTTAGAACAGATGTTTCGTTAGTGTAAACACGTGTTTGTAAGAAATTTGTAGCTGAATTGTAAAGCGTAGAAAATACGAAACCTAATTTCCTTATCGTAAATTATTGATAAGAAGTATATTATTTTTAGCACTTCCTGGTAATCTCGGAGTTATGTTAATTGTATTTTTTTATTTATCTAGCTTAGATATTAATGACTTAAGAATATTAATAAAGGATTAGTGTTACCTTAATTTAGATATAAAATACTAGCTGTTGCTCGCGACTTCGCTCACGTGAGGTTAAAATAATAATAAAAAATATAGCCTATGTTACTTACAGATAAATTTCCTTTTTAATGGTGCAAGAGTTTTTAAAATCGGAGCAGTAGTTTTTTGAGTTATTTCAATACATACAAAAATACAAATCTTTCCCCCTTTTAATATTAGTATAGATGTATGAGTAAAATAAATAAAAACAAGGAAAATGATCTTCCTCTAACAATTTTAACAAACAAAATTATCTAGAAAAAAAAAGAAAAAAAATTTTTAAATTTCAGTCTTTATGTTTTTTTTTATAATTGTTACAAACATAAGTAAAAATTTCTGTCTATTCATCCCTTTAATTCTTAGTATCAATATACAACGTCTTGTAAGCCAATTTTCCGAGAAAATCCACCCCTAACTAGTCACCCCTAACGAAAATTCCGAGAAAACGTCGGATAAGTTCGTAAATTACGCTTAACTAAAACTTTGTTATAAAGAGAAACGAAAGTCTGAATTTAATACATTTCAGTGTAAAGCTTAATCAAGATTATAAAAGTCCTGACAGAATACCGTTTTAATTTTTATGGTTACACAATAATAAAAATCCCTTTCTCTTCCCATCCTTTTCTTATAAGGAAGAGAAGGGAAAGTGAGTTTTACGGTGGAAGAGACCGAGCAAGGGGAAATATTTTTTGTGCCACTCCTCCGTCTAGTAAGGGTAGGCGACGCATCTGCAATTGCGGATGTCTATGGGTGGCGGTCGCTTCGCCGTTTTACCGGTTTCAGCTTGCTCGTTTGCCACCTTATATTATAAAAAAACGTACTCGTATAAGTGTTATTGCCAGAACACATTTGGATAGACCTATTTAACTCTGCACAAAAAGAATATTCACGTTTTTCCACTAGGTGTATGTTTTTTTCTTCTATAATTTTTTTTTGGCCGTGGAAAATCACCGTTAAATATTTGTTTTTGTATGCCAAATATCTTTTTCAGAACACATGAAATAAACTGCAAACTTTATCGCCTTATTCGGAGAACGAATCGTTCTAACAGCTTAGGGTTGTCACAATTTGTGACAGCATAATAGTTTTATAGTAATGTTATTTATCGAATAATCTTGCATGTTAATATTAAATAGTACTTGAAAAATTAAAAAGTAAAATATACGGTAAAATTTAAATACCTTGAAATGGCTATTATCGAATTGACCAATGAATGAAACCTATTTGTACCGAACAACGGATTCAGTTTGCTTATTGTAGTTAACAATTCAATTTATTAGTTGGTTTTGGCTCTACAATAAAAATTTCTATTGAGACTTTATATGGTAAAAGTGTAAAAACGGTTTTAATAAATGGGTGGAAAAAGAATATTCAAGTCATGTGACAACCCTATAATTCGTTATCAAGCAGATGGGAAGCAGAGTGACGCACGCGGGGAAACCAATCTGCAACTAATTTTTACATTGATAATGTTAAAACTATTCGTTATAAAAATTTAAAGATAGTTTACTTGTTGAATTTGTTAAAAAATGTGCAGCATTCAAAGTGATCTAGTTTATTTTTATTTTAAAGTAATAGTATATTTTCTATTTGGAAAGATTTCATCTTTTACGATTCAAGAAATATTTTTACTATTCTTGATGTACAGACAGCGCCATCTAGTGAGCTATTAGTATCTTTAGTATCGTTTTATTGAAGAAATAAACATACACCATATTGTATTACATAAGGAGTTGCGTTTGTTTTTAAATAAAGCACCATCTACGTTCCAAAGGAAGAAAGGATCACAGATAATACAATACTATACTAGTATTTAATATTTTAATCCTTTTCTAAATCTTAACTGTTGGTGTTTTTTTCTATTCTAGATATATTTTGGATAATAAACATTTGGTAAAAGACCGCGTGGTGCTGGACGTGGGTAGCGGCTGCGGCGCTGGCGCCATCGCGGCCGCAATGGGACACGCGCGAACAGCTGTCGCTAATGACATTGACCCAGGTATGCAACGACTCGATCAGTACAATTATTATGTCAGTGAAATTAAATTTTTACTTAAGCATAATATAACTTCGAAAATAAGGAGTTAACAATTAAAACTAATTACAAGGAGAAATTGAATTTGTTAAATTTAATATTTAAATAAAAAAAAAATACCTGTGAAGAAACAACAAAAAACTGGAGATGCCGGGGATCGAACCCGGGGCCTTTCACATGCAAAGCGAACGCTCTACCACTGAGCTACATCCCCTGTTGACATATGATTTCAAATTAACAGTCAATATTAAAACATTAAAATGTTTTGCAAAAAAATTACCATACAAAGGTCAGGGTTTTGTATTCCAGTTGCGATATTAGCTTCACAAGTGAACGCTCAATTAAACGGCGTTACCATAGCAACCAGTAGCGAGGACTTGGTTGGTGCCGCGTGCTCTGACTGCGACGTGGTGCTGGTAGGGGACATGCTGTACGACGAAGAGTTTGCAGACAAACTATTCTCCTGGCTGACGCGTCTCGCTGTGCAGGGGAAGTTGGTGAGTTTTAGCAAGAGAATCGCGCAACCAGAGTTGCAGATTTTTTGGTTTAAATACTTTTTATTGTAATACTTAAGTGTTATAAATAATGTTAGAAACTAAACACAATTTAATATAATCAATAAATATAGCCCTGTAAAAACCATGTTATTGGTATGTTTACCGTTTAAACATCCCTATCTTAGTAATATAAGTATGAAAGTTTGTATGAATGGATGTTTGTTACTTAAATACAGTGGTTTAACAGATCTACATTAAAGTTTCAGATGTAGAACTAAGTTTATTGTTATAAAGGTGTTGATAGGCGATCCTGGGCGTCACGGGCTGACAGGGGAGAGACGGTGTCAGCTGAGCATGCTGGGATCATTCCCTCTCCTGCAGCACACGTGTGAGGAGAATCACGGATATACCGACGCTAAAGTATGGAGAATAAAGGCTGAATAAATACGACGCGTTTTATTTTATTTATTTGTATATCGTCAATAGATGGCGTTGAAAGCCACTAACTAGTAAACGAAAATATAGTCAATTTTTTTTTATAAATATGATCAAGGGTAATTGTTATTATTAACTACAAAATATTGTCCTAAGGTATAAATAAAACTCAATATATAAATTCTTATTTTATTTATAGAATTATAACAAAAATACAGTTGCATAGTTTCGCAGGCACAAGTAAATTCGTTGTAACATTATTATAAAGTACGTTTCGTTAATTGCATTACGATGTACTTAAACTAAAATATCGTAATATTACATCTATTTACATTTAGGTTACATTTGTATAATTACATTTTACAGTACCTACATTAAAATAATTATCATGTACAAAAAAGATTTTGAACAAAACATCAATATACAAAGTTAAAACTTACAAACAGTAAGTATATTATATTTTAAACGAAAGTTTTAAAATTAAATTCTGAAAGTAGCGCAATGCCATCTATTGCAAAATTAAAGAATTGAAAATATTTTCACTATTGTGTTCACGCGCCATCTATTGTTCATTTGCGTAATTACAATTTTTAAGCGCCATCTATGACCGAGTAGGAAAAAGCAACAAAAGAGGTTTCAGCGCCATCTATGAACGAGCAACACCACAAAAGTAATCGTGGTAACTTTTGAGCGCTAAGAGGCAGATACATTAAAGTTGATAGTTGTGCATAGCGTTTGCGTATAATCCATGCTTAGGTCGTGGTGTTCTTGCGGAGTGATGC